ACTGAGAAAAGGAAGCATTAATTAACTTCAGATACTCAAGAGATTTTGCTTAAGTCCTTCAGCAGAATTGGGACAATTATAAAGCTATCTTTCCAACAACAGAAAAGAGCACATGAAGACAGGAAGAAAAAAGGAGAACTCAACAGACCTGTGCTAAAAATGAGTGTCTGCACTGCACAGTGCAGTGGCTACAGCACAGCCACATCCAATTATTTTCTAGTTGTTCCACTTAGCTTTTCTGGGTGCAACCAGACTGGCAAAAATGCTGACATTTCTCATTTCAAGCCTTACAAGGACAGACATTTTTTTTTTTTTTAAAAAAAAAAAAAAAAAGCTGGAAAAGGTTGGGTGCACATGCCACCAGTATTGTTGGGCCAACATGTAAAAATCTCAGTGGAAAATTAGAAATGCATGCTCATACAGTCTTTCATTTAGGTAACACAAAGTCTCCCTAATTGTTTCTGTGGCGCTTGATTTGTGCTGGAGTAGGACTGCAAGAGTGCTATCCCTTGGGAATAGGGATCGTCATGAAAATGAGATGTGAATCTTGTCAGGCAGCCTGGCGTGTATGAAATTTTAACTAGATAAATTCTGGTACAAGGAATTTTGTTAGAACTGCTGAATAATAATGGTAAAAAGTTCTGGAAGTTGATTTTTCCTGCTCTGATAGCAGTTGTAATGACTCAAGATTAATTTTAGCATTAAAAAGAGAGGTAATTGCAGTACTTAAAACCCTGAGGCAAATCAGTGGAAATGCTTTGGAAAGGATAATTATACCTGCACGAGGAAGACTATCTGTTTAATAGCATTAACTGGTCCAATTAAGGAGAAGTGGAGGACCACTGATTTGTTAACTCCTTTAACCTCTTCTCTGAAAAAGGGGGTTTGATATGCAAGCAATAGAAATTGGTTTCTGCTTTTTCTAAGGTGATTCCCTGAGCTTTAAACATTTTAAGGTCTATTGGGGAGATCTTGTCTCTAGTTGTGATTAAGTGCCAACATCACAGACGTGCTGGTGTTTTACCATCTACACAAGAAGAGGGGTTTGGGTGCATTTATACAGCAGGCGTTTTGTTTCACATCGTTAACCTAATCTGGCCATAATTCCAGTCTAAACATCCATAAAGAGATTATTCTTAATCAGGGGAGGATGGGACAAGAGGAGCATTCTTTGTTGTCCCAAAACAGCAGCAGGTTTGGGCTATTTTGCCACTGATAAGAGCTAGAGCAGGCTGCAGGCTGGCTGAATGAAACGTAGGATCTCCTGCCACAAAGCTTTCCCTCGGGCTTGCCTGCTCTAACATAAATAGTGATGTGTGTGTCTTTAAGTATAGGCGTGGGAACGGGCGTGTGTGTACACACACCAGTCATTTGCAAACTAATAAAGGGATTTTGTGTCAATGCGTTGGAGAATACATACTTGCATATATAAGCAGGCATGGATTTTACCAGGGGGAATAGAGGGAAGGGAGTTTGAGAGGGTGTTAATCCTTCCGTGAATCCTTATCTTTCACTTCCTTGCTGTAGTGCTGGCATTGCTTCTAGCACTGTCCTCAGAGCTTGAGCGGTTAAAAAAGTTTTAACCAATAGTTAAAATCAAAGGCCAAAATTCGCTTTTTGCAGTGGCACAAAGGTAGTAGTGCTGTACGGAAAAGGCAGCATTGTCCTCTTCAGAGTTGTAGCACAGAGACAGGATTTTTTTTCTCCTCCAGTGATTATTTTGAGCTTTCTAAGGCAGCCCTTCACCAGTTGGAATTGCAGAATATAATTTAGGAAACAGACAGCTCTACCTTCGTTAAAGCAAGCACACCTTCTGTTATATAATCTAGGTAGGTAATAGCACAAAGGCACTGTTTCATATCAGCTATGGGTTTATTTCTGTGTCTGCCCACAGATAGATGCATAAATATGTATGTATTTACACCAACCGAGTATTAAAAGGGCATTCCAAAACAAAACAATCCCCTGAGTACATTTATGCCTGAGCAGACCCCACAGAAACTGATAGAAGCTTGATTCTAATCGTGTTGTTCAGGGCACTGCCTGAAAGCTGTCACCCAGTGACACCTGGAACATAAACCCACCATCACTATCACCGTGCTGGCGGTAGTCACAGAACCCACTGCAAAGAGTATAAAGCCTGATTACTTAAATGCAACAAACAAACATGCCATTAACAGGATGATGTAATTAGGAAAAGTATAACTAGAAATTTCAGAGTTAGAAATGTCTAAATTAGAATGAATAATAAAAAGCATTTTAATGTCACAAAATTTAAAGCTGACAAGGAGTTTCTTTTCTCCTTTTCAGTGAGAACATCGGCAGTGGACAGAAAGTCAAACAAGCTGAACATCATGGACTGTTACAGTGAAATACTTAATCTAATGTGTGCAAAAAAGATATTAATATATAGCCTGAGAGGTGGTCTGACTGGAGCAGCAGGAGAAAAAGGAGTACTTAGCAGGAGCAGTGGGTATGTTTGGTTTATTAAAGTCCAGATCCTACAGTAGCTTTACATAGCTTTATTCAAGTAGCATGATCGAGTCCAAAGAGAGGTTCTCTGCAATTAATCTTGCCATTCTTTTGATTAATTGCAGACACATACCTTATCATGCCTATTAAATGGCCCTGGTGCATTTCCAGTCCCCTAGCAGCATGCAGTCTGCTGGTGCTTGATGACTAGCAAGGAAATAACTGACCACAACACAGGATTTTCATAGGGCAGTGCTTTAATGATTAATAAAAATATGAATGGCACCACAGCCTTTCTTCTCAATCTCAGCTTCTAAAATGAAAAGCAGGAGCCAAAGAAAGATGCTGAAACTGTTATGTGTGAAGATTTTTTCAACAATTAGTCACTTTCGTCTCTCCTAATCGAAATTATGCCTACATGTTTATATTCTATTTTAATATAAAATCTCATCATTCACCTTGAAAATAATTTTTTTCATGACAGAAATGAGAAAAATGAGTGATTTTAAAAGAATGCTGAAAGCCACAGTAGGTCCCCAGAAAAGGTTGCACATCTCATGATTTGCGATGGAAGGACAGCACTAACCTCCCAAACACATAGCTGTTATCAGCTCTGCGTAAGTTAGGGAAGTGGTTAAGCAATGTACTTGGAAAATTTTTATTCTCATCCTACATTTCTTCAGCACTGAGGGCTACGCAGCTTCAGATTTTTAGTTTAATCCATTTTATAAAAGCCTAATTGCAAGGTGATGTGGAGGTAGAATCATAGAATCGTTAGGTTGGAATAGACCTCTGAGATCATCAAGTCCAACCGTTAGGCTAAGTTCTGCATTTTCCTATGACTTGGGGAAAATTCAGCCCAGAAACTAAATTCTCACTTCATTTCTGTCGTTAGTGATGTGTATACTTGACTGAAAAACAACCAGCTTGGACGTGTTGCTGTAAGGCACACAATAACTTGTAGACCCTGGTCCAAAACTTGGTGAATGTATTAATACTGCTGATGCAGTTGCATAAAAATCTTATTTTGGGTAAATGTGATGAATCTGTCCCATTCTATGTGTCCAAAGCCCACATTTTTCCAGCAGGTGAGTGAATAAGAATGAGGTTAAATGGACATGGTGTATGTTGAGGCAAAAAATATTAAACAAAACCCACCCCCCAAACAGCAAGTCTCTCTCTCTTCTATATAACCGAAGGCAGAAACAGAATCAGAGCACCTCCACTTTTTTCCTGGTATCCATTCAGTAGAATGAGAGAGGCATATTCAATAGTTTGCCCTAGAAGTAAGCACATTACTGACTGTTACTAAAATGACAAAGTAGTAATATTGAAACTAACTAACAATAAAAGAGCTGGCCCTGCTGCGGTGCCTAGGTGTAGCAGCCTCATTTTGAATGAAAGCAGATTAGGCTGATGGGACTTCAGACATCTATATACAGTACAGAGGATATTAACTGCCAATATTTCAGCATTTAACAACTAGCATTATTTTCTTTAAAATGTCCTTCATGGTGGATATGACCTCCCAAACAAGGAATGCAGCAGTTAAGTAGGTAGCAAAGAAGTCCAGTTCTAGTGTCTTGGCCAAATTCCAGCTTCAGTAATTACACTCTGCTCTTAAATTCCCCCCTGCAGCTCTACTAGAATAAAGCTCTTTTTCAGCTTGTCCTGAAGCATTGTGTAGTATTTCTGTGAAGCTGTGCAACACTGAAAAATATCTCCTTCCGTTAAAATTGCAAGGGGAATTTAGGTAGACAGAAAGCTATTACCAGAGTTTGAATTTGGGCAGAACACCAAGGTTAACTTACACTTGCATTGGGATCAAGGGATCCTTGCTGACTAGGAGTGTCAGACCCTTGTTAAAGAGCACAAGTGGGAATAGCTCACCCTGATGCCTGAATACAAACTCAGAAAGTTGGGATGTCTGCACCTGGAAGTGACCGCGAGAATGTTTCCTAACAAATAACTGTATAAAAGCCTCTGGCGCTATAGAGTATCTTTTCAAAACCTTATTTGGTTATTTAGTAATATTTATGAAATTATTTGTTGATTAAAAAAGTGCCAGCAACTTTAAAAAAAAAAGCAAACAACCAAACCCCACATTTTAAAAAAAAAAAGTCTTTACCAAAAGAATAGCAGCTATAACCCAGTTATGCCAAGGCAAGTATTTGAATTTCAGGAAGTAAATATACCAAGAACCACTCAGTATTTAAGTAAGCTGAACCAGGCCCACAGTGCTAGTGAAAGCATTCTAAATTATGCTAAATAGACAGCTGTAACAGTTTTCTTAGCCTCTAAATTGGGACTAATTTAAAATATTTAGGTAACTGACTCCCAAATCAGTTTATACCCAAACACAAAAAGTCAATCCTAATAAATTAGAATAATTTGAAACAGTTACTGTACAAATTCCAGTGGAAAGGAAGAAAAACCTCTCCAAATCCATCCACATACACCAAACCTGTTTGATATTTGTACCTTGTGCTTTTTCTTTTCTTCCTGTTGTTGCTTTTCTTTTTTTCAGATCAGGGTAGCTGTGAGCTTGGTGCTCTTATTTCACCCATTTCTTTAATCTCAACTTTCTTATATTTTCTCATCCTCAGCCACCTCAGCATAATTAGCACGGTGATGCCAAATACAGCAGTCAGTGGCACCACAGCATTAATGCCAGCAGCCAGTTGTCTCATGCAAAACTCTGGTGGCTTTTCACCAACATGTTAAATCCACAGTTTTTGAATATCCAGAGTATCTCCATTGACAGAGACAGTCAATGTTTGTTCAAATGAAATACAGAGTAATTTTTTTATATCTTTTTCAAAGTAATAGGCTACATCAGCTATATCTACATCACACCTAGATTTCTCATTCTGGTTCAGGCATATTTAGGTAAGTGGGGAATCATACTTAACGGCTCCTATGTGCTTGGGATGCAGTTTGTATGGGCTCTCAAACAGATGTTTCAGGGCCTTTGCTATGTTGGGAACATCAAAGGCTCTGGACCTGTTTTGTGCTTCAGCTCAATGGAGATCCAGCTTGTTCTAACCAGTTCACCACAACTCAGGCTTTTGTCCCCCTTTCCAGTTCTTACTCCAGCAGTGTTCACACACCAGCAGGTGTTGGTTTGATTGCACTGCCTGGCTTTGCAAATACCACTGTCCTCTCAGTCTGGATTGTAAATGCCATCATTACCTACCAGCCCACGGGGACAGCCCCGGAAGCGCTTCTCCTTCGGGGGGATCATTTCTGCCTTCATCAGCAAGCATTCCGAAGTCAGTGTTGAACAGTCTACTTTGCAATTTGAACCTACCAGCCTGCAGGTGCAGTTCCCAGATCCGTCCTGGGCACATACTGTCCACTTGTTGGTTACACAGGTACAGTTGTTCTGAGCTGATGAAGCTACTGCCAGAATCAAACCCAGCAAAGCCCCAAACAGAGGCTCCATATTGCAGGTGAAAAGCGTGGGTGAAGTCTCGAGTGACAGCAGGCAATATCTGAAACATTAATCCATTCATGGAGTCTGCTTGTTTCTAGAGGCTGGTGTGCTGCTTCCTTTATCAACATTCAAATCAGACCCACCAAACAGGTTCTCCTTCCCAAACACAGTACCCAAGTCCTACAGAAGTCATCGAGCTGCACTTTAAGCTATTGCTTTTCGGGGAGTGGCACCAATGCCTGCCATCCCGCTTGCTTGATGAGGAGACAACAGGGAAGAGACAAAAGCCAACGTGAAATATAGCTCCTACCTTGGGCTTCCCTTCTGGATTAAAGCACAAGCAGCTTGCCCTTTTCCTTCTTTAAACTTTGTATGGACTATGCAAATGCATGTTTTAAGCAATTTATCCCATTTTTTGTACTCTTCCATCATGGTTTTTCCTGTGTCTTCTATCACACAACTTCGGTATCATTGCACAGTCTAGATTCTTACACATTATGGACTTCCTCCTTTCTGCTTTTGTATGTTTATAAAATAAAGCATTTTGGAGTTTTCCGTATGCTGCCTGGAGCAGCTGCCAGTTCAGGAGGAGCAACTGTTCATCAGTGTGATGGCTGCTTTCCTACTTACAGAGCAGAGGAGTGCAGTCTCATCTTCCAGCATGGAAAGCTTCTCTCCCCACTTTCCTTTGGCACATACTCATCCCAAGGCAGTACTAGGAATGATGATTTTCATGCTTGCATTACTCTTACAAAGTTGTTAGCTGTTTCTGAAGAAATTTTTCAATCTGAACTTTGAATAATGCCTTTCACAGTACACTCCAGTAGCTCCCAAGTGTCCTAATGATCTACAAAGCATGAGTTACTGTTTCCATGTGTTTTGGCAGGAGCTGAAAGATATTTTCCAGTTTGCATTAAGCAAGTCCCATTTGTCAAACACTGCCAGACACTTTATAAATCGTTATTTTGGGACCAGTAACCCCCACAGAACAGTATATGCCATTCTCCCATCCACGCAACTTGCACACTGCCTGGCAGTCAGCTCCTTTTACCTGTGCTGCTGTTTTCCTGAGGGCCTGCCCTGCTTCAAATCAATGCAAGCTGGGCTACTTGTAGTGATGGCTTGCACCTCTGTGAACAGTAGGAAGTCACCCTGGCTGCCAGTGAGCATTTATAACACAGTATAGGTTTAAAATTAGAGCTCCGGAAGTAAATACCCGCTACTACTAGAGAAGGGCACGTTCTGGAGTTGAACTTTGCAGCTAGACCTATTTCTAAATAAGCCACAGAAACACACACTACTCAAGGGAGCAAAAATGAGACAAGTTCTTCAAATTATTCCTGGCTTCCTTATAGCATATTATCACACCTCTCCATTTCCCCTTCCTTCAGATAAGCATAACAGTAGTTAACTGTCTCAGAAAATAATTGAGATCTACAGCTAAAATTATTATTAAAATTGCTAGGTATTTCAGGTTGTCATATTGATGATCCTTTCATAATAGTTTAGTAACTCCCTGGTTTTTGTTTCTAAGTCACTCCTTTATCTATGATAATCTGCTTTTTAAAAAAAATTCACATCCCTCCTTCAAAGTCAAAATCCATTTAACTGTCACCTACATACTCCTGTTTTGGTTTTAGTTCATATTATGAACTTTAGAGAGAGTAGGTTTTGTTTTTCTTCTGTCTGGAGGGCAGCACTTCAACTGCTGTAAACGTACAGCTCACAACTGGCCTCAGTGAAGCGATGACAACTTCTATATGGCTGAGAGCTGCGCTGCCCTTGTGCTCAGACAGCACCATATAGACGGGCAGTAACAGAACTTTTTACTAAAAAGCACTCTGCTTGTATGATCTTTACAGATGTTGGTGCTCAGTCTCAGCCTCGTGTATCATTTGACAGTTTCCCCTTCTTACAGACACAGTGAAGTAGAGAAAAAGGAGCTTGTTAAAAGTAATATACAGGAGAAAAAACACAGGTAACTAAATGAGATGGTCTGTCTTCCCTACTGGTAGAAGATTCTCATTGCTGTTACCTTAATTAAAAACTGCATGCATTGTCTTCCCTCAAAGCATGACGAGTTTCAGAATATACCCATTGCTAAGCAAAAGCGTAGAACAGCAGCAAGAGGAGGGCAAAGAAGGAATAATTCTAAGTTTCCCTGAGAGAGCTGCATAAATTGCCAAAACAAAAGTACACTTTTCCATTGACTTTTTTATACTGGTGGATTTTCCCCTCTGTAAATAAGGACAGAACAGACATTTTAAAGACAAAAGTCTTTCCAAATATCTATATACATATATATTTATAAATATTGCGCTGTAATCCCTCTATGACACTAAAAAAAATATTATTTCCTTTAATCCATACTAAGCTGTAATAGCACTACAAGAGTTAATTATTTAGAACAGCAGGCTGTAAAAGGCATAATCCTGTAGGAGATGAGGAGTGCATTATTTCTTTAGTGATCTCTGCTTCCATGGAAACAATTTCTCGGCACAATTCTAAATCTCATAAAGATAGGGCACTAGGTCTATGTAAAACAGCAAGACATTTCCAATTAAACAACCAGAACACTTTTATCTGGACCATTAAATACTTTGTTCAGTATCAAATATGATTACAATGTTCACTGGGATGTTAACAACCAGCCACTTCCCATGCGCTGGTTCTGTGGGGCCGGATGAAGTCGCCCTGCACCCATTCTGACATCCCTCCTTCCCCTCGCTGGTGCTGGGGTGCACCCTCTACCGCACCACGCATTTAGAGGTGCACAGTACACCTCCGTGCTGCTGGCTTCCCACTGCCACAGTGTCCCTGAACGACGTCCTCATAGCTCAGTAACGCCCAGCAGACCAACTTCTGCTAGAACAGCAGGAAAGAGTTAATCTGGGTCCTGCTGCTGACAGAACTAGAGCTAGAACCAACCCCCTTGAATCAAATTTGGGGTAATGAATATAGTTGTTCGAAAGGTAATCTGATGATCATCTTTAGAAGTCACTGGAGTTGCCCATGAAAACAAACCCATTACATTACTTTAGTGATCCTACAGCCAGGATCCTCTCTGCAACTACAGTGTGGAAAATACCGATCTACCATCCTGGCATCCCTGCCACAAAGTACCGCTGGATAATTTTCTGAAGGAGACTAAAGCAGAGGGTTTATAAGAACAAACGAGAGAAACAAATCTATAAGCGGCTGCTGGCAGTTTACAAGCACTAGTGCGAACAGTTTTGCTCTTGGTTCAAACCCTTTTTGTATCAGCTGTGACAAAGCTCCCTCTAGTGGTACTAAACTTGGTTGAATCACTTGGTTATTGTTCCCGATAGAGTCGATACCGGATCTGATATCTAAGAGACAAGAAGCTACTAAAAACCACGGAACACATCTTTCATGGTACTGCGCATACGGTCTTTATTAGTAGACTCCCGCATACCATCAGTCAGGAATATCAAAGCAGCAAGCAAAAGGATAAAAAGTACTTGATATCAATGGCAACAGTGTTAACGTGTCTTGTTTGGCTGGGTTGGAGGTCAGGTTTTGTCTGTTTGTTTTCCCCAACTGAATTGTTCTTGGAAAGTTACTTTTTTAAAAAAATATGGGCATTCCACTCCACTCCCCTGGAACACAAGGCACATCTCCCTGTGAAGAAGCACGGCTGATAACTGGGACAGCAAACTTCACTCAGCCAACAAATGCCCACAAAGGACATTTGCCAAAAGTTACATCTTAGGGGTTTTGTTTGGTTGGGCTTTTTTAAACTGTTGACTCTTCCAGTTTAAATTGTATCATTCTACTTGCTACTCAACCATTTCCCAACTCCTGAGGAACAACTTGGCAAGGGGTAACAGCTGGTCTTACATAAAGAATGAGCACATTAGTCCACAACAGGTACACTAAGTCAACGCTAGCATAAGAAGAATTGCTAAATGGAACAAACAAAGAAACAGTTTTCCAATAAAAATATTTAATGCCTTATATGTGTTTGGTCGCAGAACTGGCAGTATTAGTGAAAAAGATTTTTATCTTCTTAGAAGCATGCAACTTCCAAACTCATATTATTAACCACACAGTCAAAATAAATGATGAAAAGTAGGTTAGTAACGTTCTCACCATGGCTCCTGCCCACAAAATAACTTAGCATCACAAAGGTGGTATTTCCAGTTCACATATAATATTGTGTGGTAATCCTGGATTATGATGGTACTAGCAGTTACATTTCATCCCACGCCACTCTGCTCATGAACTCTCAGAACATCTGAGTCTTTGTGTATCAAAGGTTCAATACTGCACCATCTCCTCAAGACAGAAACTGCTTCAAAAGTGTGTTTTACTCAAAACTTTTCTTATGTAACATCACTGTTAACTCCAATTAATACAGCTGTATTACTTTAACTCATTTTAGTAATTAAACAGAGAAACAGCCAGCACATTGTTACCACTACTTGGGTAATACTGACACCTGTCCTTAAACGCTTGGAAATGGACCATATGTGTACAAGGAACACTATCTACTTCATATTGCTGTTGCATGAGAGGTTCAAAATTCTCCTACAAATCAGAACTAATTACAGCTTTGAGTACATACATTGATGCTGTGTGATTTTTCCAGAGAGTAACCTATGCAAAACTGCGAAAGAATACCTTACGCTGCAGACCACTCCACAGCTAAGCAGGCAAGGAACGCTTTCTCACCAAGAGTTTAGTTTTAACTAGAAATACAGAAAGCCATGCAATATTTTTAATGAGGAAGTCCCAAAGATGACATTTAAGAATATATGCAGACTGAGTCAACATGCCTTAAACCAAGTCTGTAAATTATTAAAAGCAGTGGGATCTGAAGCTGCACACCAGCAGATCTGAACACAGAAGACAGCAGAGAACACTACCACTATTTCTAAGTCCATAGCTCTTGAATCTGCATTGGGAGAATCACTGAGCATCAAGGGCTCACATTTTCTTAGGATCAGGTTCTGCACCTTCCACTAGTAACAGAGAGACTGACATTTATTTTATGAGGCATGATAAATAGTAATGTTAACTAAAGGAGTTCCCTCCTTGGGATGCAACTCTACAATTTTAAAGTTTTTCAAACTCTTAATACAAATGAAAAGCTGAAGTTAAAAATGTAAATATATAAAATCTTAAAATTCCATTTATGTTATGTAGAACTAGATAGATACACACATAGGTAATTTTTTAAAATAAGAATTGACTCTATTGTCATCCCTCTAGATACAAACTCAAGGTCTTGCTTGCTTCATGTTCTCAAATGTATTTTAGAGCTCTCTGAGAAACTTTGCCCAAGATAAATCTGTGTAAACAGTAATAACTGTATACAAGCCAAGTTTCTTCATGATTTAGAAAGCAACATTTAAAGCACATTTTTTTCTATAGATTCACAGTGATACAGGAAACATTTCCAAGTTGCAATCAAGAAACTTCTCAATCAAGATCAATCTGTTTATAACTAATTTACCTGAATATATACTTGTATGAAATAATAACTGAAGAACTGATACAGAACTGTATGTTTTCTCATTGAACTACACATTATAGAGAAGACTCTGAATATAAAAGTTGGTCTGTTTTTTCTCTTTAAAAAGACAAAAAATTTTCTGCTTGTTGCACTCACTTTGCCATCAGTCAGAGCCGTGTTTCCACAGGAAACAGTGGCAATTGGAAGTGGACAAACCACAATGATCTGGCAGAAGAACATAGTACCTCCCTGTAGAATGGAAGATCAGAAAGACTGCAACCTGTAATAAGACAGGAGTTATCATTTCCACTGGAAACAAGCACAACCACTACTGAGAAGCCATGAAAACTTGCCAGCTTTTCCTCCCAAACAGAGAAGCAAGATGGCAAAGAACATGCCAAAAAGCTATTTGACCATAGGGATCCATGGGGAAAAGAAAACAGTAAAAAAAAAAATAAAATCATATGACATAAACCACAACTGATTAAAAGTTCAGACTGGATACCAGGGAGGTTTGAAATCTGCAAGCTACAAAATTTTCATTTCAGTTCAGTTTCTCTTTTGTGAATTCATTCAAGTTTACAGTCTCTAAAGCATTAGGGAACAAACTAATTCCCAGTTAGAGGTGTACCTCTAGAAGAAAAACAACAGAAAATTCCCAAACTGAAAGACTTGAGAGAGGACAAACCCTCCTTGAAGACTGAAGCCCAGTATTCTTGCCAGCTGACCTTCTTCCCAAACAGCAGACTGTTGGTCAATCAATGAATTCTGTGGCACTCAGTTTTTTACAACATGTTAGGATTAAGCGTTCCTCGTGTAGTCAAGTCACACACATCCTGAGTTTTACAGTTTAAACCATAACAATACAGTGACACTGGGTGCTGTAAGAGTTACTATTAAAATGGATAATAATGCTGAAAGAGTTGACATAATGGGGAAGAAGGGAAGAAAATGAAAAAATAAAATTGAAAAGTCTGTAACTTTGTTTTGTTAAAGTCATCACACTGGCAACACGTTTGAACTTTCATTCTCGTTTTCTTCGGCATTACTCTTTTTCTCATTCTTGGAGGAGGAAAGGAATAAGTTTTCTATCTGAGTCAAGAACTCTTCTGCAATGAAGCAGTTTGTTACCTTGCCCAAAGTCTTCCTCATGCACTCCAAAAGCTAGACAAAAGAAAAGGAGATTTTTTTTTTAATTGTCATTTTTCAAAGATTTATTTTTTTCCCCGCTTCTAGCCAGTAAGTATCCCAAAAGGATTTTTATTTATTTATTTAGTATTAACACTACAGAAACTGTTCAACTACACAATATAAGTTTTAGAAAGGACCAGTCACACAGGAACACACAGGTGATTTAAAACCGGTTCTGTAACAACGGCTAAATTCAAGAGCATTCTACCAACTCGATTTGAGATTTAAGCTGTTTATAAACAGAGTCATGTCGAAAGGAAAAACAAACCAGATGTGGGTAATCATTGTATACGTGTTTTCTGTTTATGTCTTCTGCTTTGGGCAGATCTTCTGACTTGTTTGTTCAATTGATGCTACAGCTGTAGTTACTCAGAACTTCATAGCAATGACTACGGTGACTGGAAAACTGAAGTTCTCACTTACGCATGCCAAGCACAGCACAGCACTACTGTACTGACCGCACCACGGACTAGGAAGTCCAGATCTGCTCTCGAAATGCATGCAGTTCTTGACACTAAGAACACACAATATGCTGAGAAAAGACATTAGTTTGCCATTCATTTTCTCCAAACTGAGGTTAAAACTTGGTATCTGCACGTCACCATCGTCCCCAAGTCTCTCAAATGGGCATCCTTATTTTCACTGTGCTTGTAAGTAAATAAGCTGCACCATAGAAATAATTTTCTGTGATTAGTTTATATCTCAGATTTGTAAAAAATGTACCTTCAGGGGACTTCTGATGATACAAAACAGATTTGTATTTAAAAAAAAACATTTAAAATTAAAAGAGTTAAAAGAAGAAAACTTACTTTCTGCAAACAAGTCAGGTCAGAATCTCTACGAAAAATTTTATCCATGGGGACACTGCTGTTGAAAGAAAAACAAATATCATTGCTGTAGACAGCAGACACATCTTTATTGAAACATCAATAATAAACACACAAAAAGTCTGAACTGGCTATTCTTTGAAACAGAAGTAGACATATACCTATGGCAGAATCTGTATTTTTCAATTATCCATCTTGTTTTTTCAAATATTAATTCCCACTGAGGTTCTTCCAACATCTGCTGTACTTCAAATTTGTAGGGCAGGCCTGTAAACAATTGAACATGATTATTGAGTGTTTCGAATATGTTCACAGTTGTTTTTCTCTTTTCCAGTTTCAGGCACAACCCCTTCCTTCCCCCTAACGGTTCCTAATTTATTACTGACTGCAGAAGCTTGCAGTCCTGTTACTTGCCAACATTAAGGAGGTTAAAGAAAAAGTATGATGTATTTTGGATTTCAAATTCAATTTTGGTGGGAGTAGGGAAGAAACCTGTTCTCCTCCCTGCCCTCGTCGATTCCCCATGCTGTAAGGAAGCACATAAAGAAATCTACAACATAACAGAAAAATGGTGAAATTAACTGAGTTTTTATAGCATAGTACCACCTTTGTAGTCTAAGATCTCTGTGGTTGTTAAGTGAATAAAAAAGGTTTTGTTTTTCATGCATGAAGTGGCTGATGAAGTGGCTGACTCTGGTTCTAGATTTCAGAGGAATTTTGTTCCTAAAGGAAGAAGTTCCTCTAGTTTATTGCAGGTGGGGGAAGAGGAATTTAGAAAGTATTCTGAAGGAATACCAGAAAATTACTTCCAGAACACGATTCAGTTACTAAAAACTGAGGAGAAAGAGACTGTAAATTTCAGTAAGGCATTTAAAATAAAAAAAAAAAAAGAAGAAAAAAGTGCCTTTGCAAGATCATAAGAATTTAACAAGATGAAACACACGCTTTCCAACTAGACCTCGGAGTAAGGGAAAATAAAGCAATAAATACACTTTGTTATTTGAACACACTCAAATGTGGAAAGTGTTCGGTGCAGAATGCATTTCCAAGGGTAAGAATTAATCTACAGCAGTATTTATGGCTCATATGAAATACTAATTTTTGTTCATTTGCACAGTGCTACTGCCACGGTGTAACTTCTCCAAAGAGCTAGAGGAGATACCATTTTGTAAAAAGTTGGTTTCAGGAGATAAACATAAATATGAAGCCCTCTCAGACAGAAAATACATGTGACAAAAAACCCATCTACTTCCAAGGACAGATACAGTTGCTCAGTATTTCCTGCACAGTGCAAGGGTGGGACACATGGGAAATGAGGAGAGAGTACGGTACTATCAGTATGGTAAACAGGATTTGCTGCACAGATGTGGCTGCCGCTTCACTTCCCCTAGGACTCTGAAGCAAGTCTCCAGGCAGATGGTCTGCCTTGCTTACTTCCACAGGAAAAAACAGTCAGCTCACATGGCCTCCGCTATTGCCTTGCCAAGAAAACCGGAAACCCTGGAGTTTGGATGCAAAAAAAAAAAATCAGGACTTAACCAGGGGGAGGGAAGAAGAGAGAGAAGCAGCAGCAACCACAACCACATACTGTTATCATGGGAATTTTCCCCAAATTACCGTCAGGGAATGAGCAGAAGACGTGATCATCACTTGAAATACCGTAAATTTTGTATGATGGGTTTTTAACTATTCAAGAAAGGAAAACATCCCGTTTTCATGAAATGCCAGTGACATCTTTAATCAAGAATTTGTTCTCTTTGGTTGGGACTCGTGCCAGCACACTGTTCTGTCCTTCGTATCTCCTGTCTTCCTGGACAGCTGGCAATTTTCAGCCTCTGCCCTCCCGAATGCCGAGTTACTCAAATAAGGGTTTTTGACTGCTATAGCAGCCAATTCTCTGTATTATGCTTCCATCTCCTCCATCAGAGAATTTTCAGAGTTTTGTAACGCAGCAAAGTCTAAGTAATACATGAGAAGCAGTTTCTCAGCTATTCATATGGTTACTGGATGTAAATAAGTGACCCTCGTCCCAATCCTTTTAATTTCTTTCATAGATTGTTAGAAACACTAAACACAGAAAAACAATCTTCTATCTGTTTATACCTGTATGTTCTTGTCACGACAGCCTGGGCTACTTGCAGGATTAGTCTTTAAGTGAAATTCCTGATTTTGTACAGCACAAGTTACCGACACAAATACATAAATACCTATTTCTCAAGTTCAAGAGAAGACAACATTTTGCCCCTTAGTATCCAAAAGGAAAAGAAAAATTAAGACAATGAATAAAATAGCAGTACTTACGGTAGGAACCATCAGAACTGATCTCATCGCTAATTACTAGACAAGTAATCTGAGAATACGGAAGAGGATTATTTCGGTTGTAAGGACTTATAATCATTCCGATGAACATGGCACCACCCCTGGAGAAATAACTCTAAAAAAAACCAAACACACACACAAAAAACCCACATGAAAGAAATACAACCTTTTGCATAACAGCATACTGAAATTGAAAAAAACAGAATCTCTGTTAATTAATGAATGAACTGATTTTCAGATGCATTAGAGCAATAACATGTATTAACATGGTAAATACTAGGGAGGCTTTAGGGTCCTTGTGTTTTTTTTTTTTTTTTGCTATTTATTTAATGTACAGACCAACAAGTACCTGGTACTTAGCTTGAGTGTCAATATCCCGTATGGAGGGGTTGGGGTCAAAGGCCGGGTGGGAATGGTACCATCCGATGACGCTGTATCCCCTGCCAGCCAGCGTTTCCGAGGCCTGTGTTTGGGATACTGGATCCATCTCGCACTGCAGTCCTGTACTGAGACTATTGCATGGCTCTGCTGCACAGACCTGTTAAAAAAGCCTCCAGATGGATAAATGCAAGAAAATCTCCATCAGTTTAAGAAAATCTAAAGAACTTTAAGAGCCATATGCCAGGTCTTCCTCAGGCTAGAGCTGACAGGCCAACACTTGAACATAAGAATAACTAACATTTCAAGACTACAGCAATAAACTTGAACTTCAATATACTTAAGTAGTTGCCCTTCAGAAATAACATTTACATCTATTCCAATTATAGAGATTACCATAACAGTTCTAATATTTTAGAGAAAATGTAAAAAGACACTTACTTCTACAATTTTATCAGCTTCAGAGTATCTTCCACCCAGCAGCCCTATTACTTCTGCCATAGACACATGAGAGTGCTAAAATGACATTAAACAATTACTTAAGTCCAAGTTGTAGAATTCCTCCTAGTTTTGATCTGCACATGACAGAAGACATTGGCTTCACAGCTACAAGCCAGTAACTTCTCAATAACATTTAGAAGGAAAACTGAGGACAGCTAAAGATTCTCAAATATCCAGTGTTTCCATTTAAAGCAAACAGAAAAGGTGATGTTTGCTTCTTACATACACGCACGTATATAGTGCATTTGTATCACCCTTCCACCCATGAAGCAATGCTAGCTTCAAAAAGTGAAGCCTGTTCAGTGCTGAACGACTGCACCAATTGTGGTGCAGCCTGTTATTAAAACAACAAACCACACGTTGCTTTATAAACACAAAACCAATTCCCAGACTAGTAGAAAATGAACCCCTAAGTTTTCAAAATGTCAGTTTATTTCAGAAAGTAGCTTTAAGCAAATTATATTTAAAGTATAATGGAGAGGGGTAAGCAGTAACGCTGTTACTAGTTTTTCTAGAAGGTAAATGGCTGTACACTAAGCACAACATAAATAAACCTTTATTTTTATTTTAGGGGCTTTATTTAAGCCTCAATTTTCACTTCTAGGTCTGAATGCAAAGAAGTAGTGTATTTCTCAATCTTCTTATATTGTCCATTTAAAAAAAAACAAAACAAACACTCCCCCCAACATACAATCACAGCTTTTCGAAAGATAAAACTTAATCCTTACCAAATCCATTATTAGAAGTGCTTCGGAAGACACTTTCACCTGAAAAGGTTCCTGAAATGACAAACACATCATGAGTACACAACCAATAACATAAGCAGTAAAGCATTCTTGACTGTTCACTCAGAGGTACATACCTGTTTTTCTTCAGTGAACAGACAGCACGGTATCAGCTGAAAGGGATCAAAGGAACTATAAAATGAAAGAAAATTTCTCTAAACATGTAGGACAGTCAGAAACTTTTCAAGTTTCCCACTGTCTCCTTGGCAGAGAAGGAATAACCTTGTTTTCTTCACTGGATTTTCTCATCCCCCACTAGGATGACTTCCACCACATACAGCCACTTCACTACCCACACTCATGAATTTCAATTCAGAACACTTGAAATGCACACGTTATTTCAGACTGTAATACACATTAATGATTTACGGCATTCCAGCCTGACACTACTCAAGACAATGGTTTCATTTCTAGAAGAAATATGTACATCAAATAATACCTTTTTATTTGCCTTGAACCTTTAGAAGATTTTGCAGGTTTCAGTTTTTCTTCCTCTCTTCTTCTTGCTAATTCTTCAGCAGATAGATGCTAAAAAAAAATTTTTAAGAAAATGAAATGTCTTAATGTCTTAAGTGCTCTTTCAGTAGTAATTCCAAAACCAGCCCACAATAAATTTTTGACATCATTGTCCTCTCAAGATGCTATCAATTTGTGTGTGTGTTTTACAGGACTACTCAAGATAAGAGGGCAACAGCCATAGCAGAATCAAGCAGTGGTGAAAGTAGTGACAGTCAGAACTAGTCCATAAGAAGCCTGATGAGAGAATTCTTACATTCTCCAAGTCAATCAAATTCAGTAAAATCACAACCCATATCGCAAACCATGTGTAAATCAAGCGTGATAACTATGGGGAAAATCTGCCATTACAGCCCATGACCAGAATTTATGATGACACTGCATTAGGGATGAGTGTTTTCAAACTTTATTTCCATCCAAATATGTATTTTGCAGAAAGCGTTGGAATAATTAATCACAGTTACTCAAAAACAGGTATGGCATTGTAAGATTGCAGGAGTAATTGTTACAGGACCTCATTACTGAAGGTTGCAAATTTAAGTAGTTTTCTGTACAAAAGAAATAGGAAGTTTACAGTTCTCTTTCTGTGTAATTTGAAACTGTAGGCACGAACAAGTGGATATTTTCTTCCCAAGTCTTCTATAAAATATTTAAACATTTATGAATTTTTCTAAGCACTTCATAAACTTCGTATTTCTGGGGATATTGCTAGTAGCAGAATTAATATTAGGAACTTCTAACACCCACATTGTAAGAAACAAAGAAACCATATAGGTGTGGAGAAATGCTAGGCTCGTACGGTTATCACACTGTCCCTGGACAGAGCAAGGACAAGAGCTGAGCAACTTGCTCATCTGGCAAAAAACAGCAAAAGGGCGAGATTGCTGGTATCTGCTTCTCCCTTCTACAAACCTTGTGCGGGGAGATAACAGCTGAAAAAAAGGGAGCCTCGTGGTGGCAAGACAGCTCTGTTTTGGCTAAAGAGTGAGGGACCAAGCAGAAAAACAGCTTCAGCACAGAACTTTGAAGGCTACAATGCCCTGGAGTGAAACTTTTGCTTAATTATCTAAAAAATTAATAGAACAGTTAACATCCTTGCTTATGTTAATGAGAATTATAGAGATCATGCTATACATGTATGACTATGTCACTCAACTCTCCACCTAAATCATGCTATACATAACCCGTGGGAGGCAAAACAAAGAATTAGAGAATAAAGAGAGGAGAATAAGGGGTAAAAATTGGGAGAAAGGTACTGAAGATCTAGAAGAGACGGTCGACAGGCTGTGCTCCTCTTCCTCCACCCAAGATAGGGATGCCTTCTTGCCAAGAACTGCACCTTCACCCCTGGTGAAGAACACCCAGGAAAACTTGGCCAGCGCTATTATAGTACATTAGTGCTACTGCAGTAAGTGCATTTATCAACAGCAACTCCGTACCTGTTATACGTGTCGCCTTAATAAATTACCCGTATTTGCCACTTCGCAAAACTGTTTCAGCGAAAGGCCCTGAGAGGACTCAGACAGGCAATGTCACATCTTTACTCTTAATGTGACAATAGGACTGGAAAAAAAAAAAATAACATTTACATCTTATTCTCCTGTCCGCTCCTGTTAGCTTTAGTAAGGCAGTTAACTGAAAGCAAAGGGCCATGGGATCTCCTACGAGACAAGACAAAGAGCTTTATAGGCCTCGAACAGTGTAGGGTGATACAGGCTCACAATGGGAATGCCTCTAAACCCTGAAGTACAGCCGTATTTATCAGCAGCATGAAGATCTAACAGCCGCTACATTATTTTCAAATTATTGCTTCCACAAGGAGAGGTGAAGTACCTATTACACAACTGTTTCCCTTGTATATTTGATGCAACACCACCTGCTAGCAATTAGCAAGAATTAATTCTTTAAGGAAAGTTTAAAACACAGAAGAGTTACCTCAAATGTCTGTCCTTCCAAATCCTTTGCGTCACACCAGTTTCCCCAAGGGTCTCGCACTCGCCGCCTTCTTGTACGCTGCAGCAAGCAAATCAATACGAGTCAAGGATTGTACTCCTGAAAAATCTGCATTTGCTTCATTTAATAAGCCATGAAAACATTGTCCAAAAGGCTACTGCCACATGAGTGTTACTGACGCATTTCCAGAAAAGGAAGAAAACCCTGGAGCTCTGCAGAATGAAGCAGTTCACATCATCAGTGAAGTTCTCAGTTTTTAAGGCTGTAAAGCATAACACCTGGTTGATGTTCCATGGATCATCAACACCTCCGACACAACAGTTCATTATTATCCAGCTCTGAATTACAGCTCAGACAATACAAAAAGCTATAAAACCAGGATGTTTACACCCAGTGTATGCTACCATTCTTTATATATCTTTTTTTTTTTTTAAGTAGGATTGATTAAGTTTTCCTCTCATCAACTGATTTATTTTGCTGTGAAGTACCTAAAAACGCTACATTAAGCGTGAATATGAAAATGACATCTGGCAAGCCTTGGTAATCCACATAGTTATCAGTGAGTTACTGCTGTACTTAATTGTGTGCAGAAGGCTCTCAGTAAGCCATACCATACACCTACCATACTTAACAGTTAAAATGCCAGCAACAACCACACATTACCAATACACTCCACTATTTTCCAGCTAATTCAGCTAATAAATTACAGAGGGGTGGGTAGAAAAGGGTCAGGGATGCAAGGAAAAGCCTGAAAGACAATCACAGTTAAGTCCCTGAATAGCAATTGAACACATAAGAGAGCAGAAGTTAGGGCAGACGCCTGCCAGCAGAACTTGTACTGAGGCTGACACTCGAATTATAGGGCACTCTACTGAAACTGCAAACTGAACTGCACTTCCTGAGGTGCCCTAGCTTGAAAATGAGAATTGAGAAGACCTTCTCCACACTGAATGTTTTTCGCTGCCCCCACCAAAACATACCATGGACTGCAAGCGCTGAGCAAGCTGGTACGCTTCCACTGTGTCCTTGCCTTCTCTGGACCGTGTTTTATCAGCTGGCTGGGGTCGGTTATAGACAGCCTGTTCTGCAGGAGACACCAGAGAGATACACTGTACTTCAGTAAAGGATAAAGCTACACTGTACTTCAGTAAAGGATAAAGCTACTTACTACTGGTACAGAGCCAGGAATTACACAGGTAAGTGGTAATGATGAATGCCATCAAGAAAAGAAAAGAAAAAAAAAAAAAAAAAAAAAAAAAAAAAAAAAATCAACAACAAAAACCCCCACACTGAAAAGACATCTCGTGACAGTCATATTATTGACAGATTGTATAGCCCTCTCCCACTACCACAGCATTTTTAAGGCAAGAAAACCTCCTTCCTTATTGTTAATTTATTTTTAATAACCTTCACTCAGACAAAATGTATTTGCAGGACATTCCTCCTCTCCTAGGTGACTGTCATTCAGCTTTGGACCAAAATCAATCCAGAGACTCTAAAACAACATTAAGTTACAGGTGTATATATACTTTTAACACATCATCCAATTTTAACATTTGAATCTTGTAAAAACTAGCCCTGAGGATGAAGATACTGTTTTTTATTCAGGAAATAGTTATAACTTGAATTCTGTCTTATGCACAGGGACAGCAGAATTTCAGCTACAGCAGGTATCAGTGCTGTGAGCACACATACACATCCAACAGTGAGTGGACACATAGAAAAGCACAAAACAACAAAAAAAAACAACCCCAAACACCCCACCAGCTGGTGTGCTGGTATACATGAAGCAGGGGAAAGAAGAAAATAAAGAAAAGGTCCTTGTGTAGAACAAAAAACCATAATCCTGTAAGCAGGTTAAAAATTCCTCTAATTTTCAAAGGTCATGAGAGACAATCTGCTCAGTAGGTCCTTCCTAGGAAGGAGTGACATGTACCTTCTGTGTAAGCAGTACACCCTGACCTTAAGCAGTCCTCCAACATTAACACCAAAACAGGCTACAGCCATACAGGCTGAAACACAACTATACTAATGACAGTCCAAACAAAGAATCTCATCTACAGAACTTAAATGTAACAACAGTTATATTTAAGACATTAAGAGTATAGAGAAGTTGGAAGATTTTCCACATGGATGCTTGACTCCGACTAAGGGCAGTCATCCACGCCTCAATGAAGTGAGCCTACAACTTTTGGTTTAAAAATCACATCTACAAACCTTAATGTTTAGCCTTCACATGAAAACATTAATTTTAATTTAAAAAGCTGACAGTCAACAATAGACGCGTTCAGCATGTACTGATTAGAATTTAAGTTCTGAACTGATTCAATAAAAATATCTTTACCACAGCCAAAGTTAATTGCTCCTATTAATTCCAAGTACGTGTGGATCCGTCCAATGCAGTTAACATCACCGCAGTTCTTAAGGCCCGGGCGTACTGAAGTCTTATTCAGGTATTTGGGTTTACACCTCTCCCTAAAATAAAACGCAGCACGTTGTCAAATATTGAAACAAATCATGGGAGGAGGAAGGAATCGTGTGACTTCAGCTGAGGTTAAGATGAGGCACTGAAGTGTTTCTTCCCTCCGCGATGCACACGCTACGCACCACTATGCAGGGCAATCCCAGCAAAAATACAAACTTCACAAACCACATACAATTTATTAGAGGGTTACTCAGACACATTCTTACTTATGCAGAGTGAAACTTATGTTCCATGCGTTAAAAACAAACTGTTCAACACGACCGGTGCCAGGAAGCGACGAATTACTGAGAAGTACTGTGATACTGTCAAAGTGACAGAAGAACGTCTGCATTAGATTAGTCTAAACAGCTCGTCTACTCATAGGCTTCCCTGGTGTAATAAATAAGCCTGTTTTCACTCTCTAGGCACTTATTACTTGTTTTTAAACTGATAGTGAATCATTTCAGTTCAACACTTCCCTGGTATGGAATTTAACAGTTTCTCTGCAACTAGAATAAGCTGTCAAGACACAGGACAACTGAATGAGAACAGAGTTAAACTCAGCAATTCTTTCTACTTAAAAGCGAGCTAACCAACACAACAAGCACACGAATCAAAACTGTTAACAGAACAAACAGTATTTTGAGCCCACTGCCACAAATCACTATGGCTCCTTAAACTGACTGTGGAGACGGAATATAAAATATACAACTGTACAAGCACTACTCCAAAGTGATTCTTAGTTTGAAGTATTTTTTTGGTCAATGTTATCTGCACTAGCACAGACTCCTTCTTCTAGCTGCCCTTCCATAAAGGGAGCACTACAATACTACAGTCATTACAGAATTAATTTAATTTAATCAGTTCTTTTGAGGAACCATTTATTAAAACTACATATGTATTCTTACATATAGAATGACAAAAACTGGAAGAAAATAATGTAACCAAATGTAATCAGCTTGTTCTGATATAGGACACTCATTTTCATAACACTTCCAAGTATTTTCATTGCTTAGCTTCCAGAATGCCAGAAAAAAAACCTGGGAAGACTCAAAAGAAGCATTAATAATCAGTGCTGTTCACTCACAATCTTTATAATGTTACCAAAAAATTAATTTTACTCTTTTCAGAAGTCAGTTGTTAGTACTAAGTAGTGTTTTAACTACAACAAAGCAGGACATAAGTCATCTTAATCACTTATTTCAGTAAATAAAATTCTTGCATCTTACCATTGATCCAAAATATAATTCCTAATTTTCAAATAACGCTCTGGTGTCTTGGCCTGGCGCCCTTCAAAGAATTCAGGAATAGCTTGCTTTTCTTCTTCCAGAATGATGCTTCTGTCAACCTCCACTTCTTGATCAGGTGGCTTAAGCTCCTCTGCTTCTTCTTGATGATCTTCTTCCACTCGGCAGGGAGAAGGAAAAAGCAACCCGTTACCAGCCAGGTCTCTCTGGTCCTCATTAAGCTCCTGATCAGTTACTTGTCTAGTACCACGAGATGTTACTGGTCTGCCTGGTTCAGCTTTCTCAATAAAATTATTGTATTGCTGGTAATCTAAATTCACAGATTTATCACCATTCAGGCGCTGAGAACATGTTGCTGCAACACCTGGAAATACCAATGCATCTACTGTATCTTGCTTGGTATGTTGAGGATCTTCTTTAGGTAAAGAAATTGCAGAACTGTGTCTGACAGATGAAGAAACATGCTCCGCTCCTTTTGTTTCTTCAACTGGACTTTTTGAAATAACAGCTAATTCAGATTTTCCAGTTTCTTGCTGGAAGGTAGAAGAAAGTAGTTCATCCATGTCATCAGTTATGTCTACTTCTTCGTCGTCCGACAGCTTTTCAATTTTCACTGCATTCAGATTGGGGTCTGCACGGCCTCTCAAGCTTCCAGACGACCATGCCTCTACCCTTATCCCATCATCAATGGGAAGACTGCTCCCACACTGACTGTGCTCTTCTTTTTCAGCATCACCGTTTTTTGCCTTAGGAAAATACGAAATACTTTTAGGAGGGAAAAACAAAACAATCCCCTCTGCATCCCAAATAGTCAGAACTATTTTACCCGAACGGCAGACATTCTGAAGTTTCTTCCTCATCTTACCCTTTTAATACATTTTAATCCATTGCAACTGCCTTTTACACAGCATTACAGGTACACTTCTAGCCCAAGAGTTAATGAATATGTATTTCCGTTAAAAAACAAAAAAACCCTAGAGAGTAGTAATTTCTTCTTGAATTCCCATGAAGTCTCAAATGAGGCTACAGCTAAAACTACAGCATAGAGCTAAAACATCTGTGTAGTGGGAAAAAAGTATTTTCACACTAACAATCAACAGTACAAGGGGCTACAAGTATATTATATTTATTGTTTAGTTATACAAGCAATAAAAATACTGAAGTCATTCTAGGACTTGGAAATCAAGTCTGACTTCATATTCAAAACTGCAAACAAGCATATTCCACTTTTCTAAACATGGGCATGAACAGAGTATGTACTTTAACAGCAGTGCCCTGAAAAGACAGCTTAAAACCAGGCTACATGTACACAGTATACTTATCAAACCACCTTTTTGCTAACTACAAAGATACACTTTACCTTGTTCTTAAAATACTGCCGAGCGTAGCTCTTCACTTGTAGAACAGTACGACTTCCAATCAACTTGGCAATTTTCGTCCACCGGCGGCCAAATTTCACCTAGTGCAACACAGCACGTTTCAGTTATTCAAACTCTAACATTCCAGACACGCGCCAAGAGTTTAATGATCCATTACAAACGCACAAACAGCACTGCAGCCCACGGTAAAGAACCTTCCTACTCATATTCTACCAAGAAGAAAATTGCCCAAGAGTAAGTTATTGATATTCTTAACTAGAGGATTTTCTTCACTCAATTCAGGCACACTCTAAGTTATGCTGCCTACTAACCCAAGGAAACCCACTGAAACAAATTTGCACTTGGCGAAGCAAACGCCATTCCATTCCTCACTCTACAACCATATAATCTGTAAAGACCCTACAACAGCAGTTAAAGGATTTAACTTCATTAGCTGATTTGCCTTAAGCATACACTCTACTTCCTGTAGTTAACTACAGCATTACAACTGTACAATGCATAAAGCTGTACATTTGAGATTTTGTGACCTCAAATTGTGATCGGCTTCACGTGAACAAAATCTGATAAACACAGCCATTCGGGGGGATTCGTCATTACACTCATAGTAGATGGCAACTATTTTAAACACTTCAGAAGTACAAAAGCACAAGCAGATAAACAGAACATGCTTATTTATATTATTTATTATTTTGTTAAGAGAAACTAATGACTTCTGTTCAAAATATTGCATATGTAAACAAACTTACCAGTCCTTGTTCAAACAGTTCCTTCTCTTCAGATGTCCACTTTAACGGGTAGCTAGCTGATTTTGTAGGCGATCGCACCCTAAGGAAATAGGAAACAGAAGTCAGTGTTTTCTTAAAAATACATATTCTCAAATCCCAGTAACTGAAGGCAACTTCTGCCAGAAGGACTACTTCCTATCTTTGTTAAAACTCAAGATACTGTTTTAAAAATGAATGTGACTGATAAATAAAATATTGAGAATCATGTCAGCTCCTCCATCACAAAGGAAGATTCAAGACAACAAAATATCCATCACTAACCAACAGCACAGAAACACACAGAAACAAACTGAAAAGTTCAGACAAGAAAGCCAACAGGAATTAATGGGGGGGGGGTGTTTCGTGAGGACCACTGTGCTACAAAACACAAAACTAGTTTGCTACAGATCTATTATTACACACAATATTTCTTTGTGTTGAAAGGTCTAATAAATAATTCTGTACAGACAAACAAAAGGAACTAAGGAACTGTAGCTTTTTTTTTTTTTTTAAATAGCATCTGGTAACTTAACAAAAATCAGGTGCCACTCTTCAAAATGCAACTCAGTCATTAAAACATACATACGTGACTTTTCCAGCTTTCTTATGTGGGCTGCAAATAAAAAACAAAGTGAAAATAAAAATTAATAATTGTGATGCTTTTTGCATATTTTGGAAGGCCTTTTCATTTCTTCTCATCTCACTGAGAATTTTTCCCAGAACACAGCTTACCTTTTCAGAGATCTTTTCTCTGCTTCCTTTTGATTGAGCCATATTTTTTCAGAAAGTGATTTATTAGACAAATAGTATCTGAAGTTGTCACTAAGTAAGTTTTCGAAGCAGCAGAAATATTTGTACGCATGGGAATTTTAATAATCCTATAGATTACACTTGACAACTATCCAGCTGTAGAAGCAAGTACTACACTACTTTCAAACCTGAAATTTCCCACACTCCTACCAGTTTAATGAATACGGAAGTGAGATTTGACCTCTGCACCCCCACGCTCACTTCACTTGCAGCAAACCAGGTATCCTGTTTCTGCCACAGCATTTCTCTTTTCTAACTTAGAAACCATACTAAAGTAATTTTCATTGTACTGATACCTCACCCATTTTCTGATTAAGCCTCAGGAATTCATTCTATTAGGAAGACTTTAATGGCTTTATTTTCATATTCCTCTATTACTGTGTACCACTACACTCAACTACAAAAAGGATATGAAAATAAATTGGCCGATAATGACTATAAGACTATAACCTACCTAGTCAGTGAGGTCAACTTATGCCAGAAATGTTACTACTGACAAAACTATTTAAGCCAACACTGCTTAGGAGAAAAAACAAGAAGTAGCAGCTGTTCCTCCCCATTTTAATTTTGCACACTGGCAGAAGTATGAGTGGAGCCAGAAAAAAAATCAGACAGTAAACCAGTCCAAGTGAAGCACAATTCAGCAAAAAGAACTAGCTATTTTTAGCCAGATCAGCTGGTTGATCAGGTTCACTATGAAGCCACACAAACGGCTGCATCAGCACAATGCTCGAGGTGGCACTGAACAAGCAGAAGGGGGGACGAATATTGCTATTTTTGGTGCCAGTGCGAGCTTAAATCTGAAAAGCTTTGGAGCAATTTTCTGAAGAATCAGAAGCATCAGAGGAAGCTGCAGGTAACTAGATGATTTGTTCAGGGGCCCTCCTTGATTTCTGCAATCCACCTACCAGATGACAGTGCTTCAATAAGAAAAGATTTGTCCAGTTCCTTTGGAAACAGGAAGTTTTCTATTGTTATACAGGAAAACATACAAGCAAGTCAGCAAAAGGATACTCTTCTTCCAGCAACATTTTCTCAATGACAGCCCTGTTTTCTTCACTAATGCTGCTGTCCAATGTCCATGGCTGCAGACAACACAAATATGTTTTAATACTTGAATTCTGTCACACTGTTACTTGAGAATCAAGAATACATAATAGTTTCTAAAAGTAAACAAAAAGCACTGGTTAAAAACCTAAAAGAGCATGTACATAAAGGGAAGAGACTGGAGAAAACAGAAGTTCTGATAACCTTGGCAGACGTACTATTCGTTTAAAAAATACTTACGAGACTGTTATCAGTTCTCCAAGACGAATCAAGATAGTGATCCTGCAGCAAGCTTGAAGCTGTGTTTTCACGATTTCTGAAAGAGATTCCAGTGTTCAAAACAATGCAAACATAGTCAAACAAAATGAATGCCATCAGAGTTAAAAATAATGGTGTAGTAATTACCAAAAACATTGACAGATGACGGAATTGGATACCAAAACTAAATTATATATTGCAGACTATTATATAATGTTAGTCTCTTGTACTATTCCATTAGACATGGCATAAATCCCCCTCAGTAAGTTACCTTTCTTAGCAATCTCAGTAACAACTCCTCACCTATCTCACCGCAGGCTGCATGTGACACCAGTGAAACCCTTAACAGTAAAAATTCTCATCCAGAATGACTGAAAGCAGGAGGGACCATGTACAATACACACAAATGAAAGAAGTCAAAATTTTACGGACAAATAAAGAACTGTATTTTTAACATTAAAACTGTCATTCACTTGTATTATGTCTACTTAACATGTCTATCGCTTTCCCCCATTAAGGTAAAACCACCTTCTTGTAAAGAAAAACCTGTTTTCCTCCCAAGGAAAGCTCATAATTACACAAGGTTTAATAGAATCCTATCAAACAGGGTTGTTAGGGCTCTTATGGACCTCATCCAGATTATGCTTCATCTTTTCTGTAAATAACTACTCATTACTTTTAGAAATCTGTCACTGATTAACATCATTGATCAACTTTCTTCTGTCTTAATGCAGCATAAAATCTCCTTAGTAATTGACATATTACTTGTTTTCAAAAATCTTTGCTTCCAGAGAATTCAGACTTTTCTAAAGACTAATTAGCCCTATATCCCCTGCAATGCTACTGAAATTAAATTCACCTACTCTCCTGAACTGCCAGCAGTTCAAGCAACTCTTTACAGGTAAGGATAAACTTCATGTACAGCCAGAAAACAATGTAACTCCTGCTTCTCTTGCAGCACACCAAGAAATGGGTCAGCTCCATAGTCCCCTTTGCCCAGTATTCTGTCTCCAGCAGCGGAAGCAGCAGATGCTACTCTAGGACACAATCCTCTCATACTCTCTCAGCATCTACAGCTGCTAGATTTGCAGCGTTGCAATCGCTGCCCACTCGCTTCAGCACCTGCCCAGAGATCCCTTACCCGTGACCGTGCTGAATCCCTTTTCCAACGTTCAGTTGTCTGAGCCGAGCTGCCTCCGCAAGTTCACCACCGGTTACACAACACAGTACCTTCTGCAAAGGAGCCTCCCGGCAGCCTCACCACCAATGCGATGGCAGCAGTTCTACCTTCACCTCGCTGCAATCACTTCACAGGCCCCATTCTCACCACCCTGCCCGATGACGTTCAACATCGGCGCTTCCCC